TCCTGATTGTTTATATACTTATATATATATTTATATAGAGAGCTAATAACTAATTGCACGTTTAGATCCTTAGGTATGAAATATTTTATATTTTCCTCTTTTTTTAATTGTAATTAATGATTCTTTATCCCCTCTCCCCCCCCACCCGGGCTTCCTCTGCAGGGACGTGTCCCATTGCCCTGGTTCAACTGGGTGAACTGGTGCACTGAGTCAATATTTGCGGGTCCCCGTGGGGGTGGCGCGGTCATAAAAACGCAAATGGCATCTCCCCCCTTCCCTTTTCCCTTTTTCCTGCTGATTTCTGCGACGTTTCCCAATATCGGCGCGATGTGTTGGAGGGCTGAACTCGGGACGTGGCCTTTGAGACCTATTTCTGGGCAAAAAACGCTGCCATCGGTGCTCTCCGGGGACCTGCATCGTACTCGGTCCCCATATTTTTATTAAAAACCACACAATCTAATTTCAGGTCCCATCCACACCCCTGTGCCCAGCCCGGGTCACTGCAACGTCCCCAAAACTACCAGAGAAATCTCTGCTCCCAGCCCGAGGAATGAGCTTCCTGCTGTCTCCTGGACCCTACCATCCCACAAAAAGCCCACCCCCACGATTTATTTGTCTTTTTGTAAATTAGCCAACTAATTTAATCTCTTGCCAGGTGAAATAATAATTTTCAAGACAGCCGTTACCTTTGGCGATTTATTTTTTTTCTGGAAAAAGAAGAATGTAAGAAATTGATGCCTGCATCTGTGGTTATTGCAGCAACAAATCCAATATTTATATTTTTGCCAGTCCAAAGCTGCGTACGAAGCATAAATTAGTTCGTTTTGGGACGTGTAAAACCCCTCTTTTGGACTGGCTATATCCCACTGAACACAAGCAGTGGCAGTGATGCTGTGAGGTTGATTTACACCGTTTGGGGTTGGTTTGTGGTTTTTTTTGTCCCTTATTATTGGTGAAAATGTTGCTCCTGGGCCGTCCTGCCCCGCTCAGGTCACGTTAATTGCGTTAATTCCTGCTCTGCTCGGGCTCACAGCCCCATCTGGTGGCACCTGCGGCGGAGCTGCCAGCGATGGCTGGCAAAGGCAAAAAAAATCCTCCTTTTTTGGGTCCTTTCAGGGCTGGGATGTGTCGGGGAAGCTCTGGAGCAAAACCCTTCAGCCCTTGCTGGAAGGTCTCACCAGGCTGTGCCACCTGCTAATACACAGACTAAAGAAATCTGAATTTTGCTCTGCTGGGGAGAGAAGTTCTTCCTTTAAAGCATGGTGTTGATGAGTTTGAGGTCAATCTGTTAGAATATATTCTCTAAGGAATCACTTGTGCCCTTGGTCTCTGCTTTTAGGAAAAATATCAAGCCTCTTCCAAACAACTTGTAGAACTTCCCTCCATCTCTGGCCTCGTGTGTGGCTCAGACAGTTATTTAAGTAGAAGGTGTAATTCATTACGTCTGTGATCCCCGTGGCTTCAGGACTCCTTTTGCTTCAAATAAGACTTATTTAAAGCTGCTTTGCAGAACCTGTTGCTTACACCAGTAACGTGGAGCTTCTCATAACTGTGTCCGTATTGTCAATTGGTTTTCTTGCTCGTTAAAAAGCTGTTTGTTGCTTGTAGAACTGTGCAGCACGTGTTATCTTTAAATCTGTTCCTGCTTCCTCAGAAATAGCAGCACAGGAGCTGTGAAGGGCACAGTTGGCTATTTTGCCTCTGTCTTTTAAAATAGGTATTGCTTTTAGCCTTGTAATTGTACGTTTAATGTAAATAATCATTTATATGATGGAATGGAACGTTTGAACATTAGTTCACTTTGTACAGCATCTGGATAATTCAGATGAACGAGGGATGGGTCCTGGTGTCTGTGTTCATTCCCATGAAAGAGCTGGTCACTTTCCACTGGTTTGGTACAAAACCATTTAGCCCAATTTAATTGACCAAACAGAAATGGTGTTTTCTTGCCTGTTTTGAGCCGATCTGCGAAACGATAAAAAGTAAGAAGCTCTACAGTGAATTTTCCACCTCCCCACCTTCTGACAATACCTAACCACAGCTTCTCCATGTAGTTTCCTTGTTGTTGCGTGAAGGGGAACCTCAGCCTCCCCAGTGTCCTGAGTGTGTGTTTTCTCTCCCCAGCAGTCCCCTCAGTCTCGCTGGCTGACGACGGAGGAGAGGAGCCAACTCCTGCTCCATCTCAAAGCTTCGGGCTGGGCTGAGCTGGGCGAAAGAGATGCCATCTACAAAGAGTTCAATTTCAAAAATTTTAATCAGGTAATTAGCGTTAGGAACCGCTTTAAATATAAAGGAAGTGTAACTGCTTTCATTTCCATACCATCCCGATGGGAAAATGTTTATATTCAGAAATTTGGGAGTATCCTCGTGGGGCCCCAAACCCTGCTGGATTTGCCTCGATGAGTTGCTCCCTGATTCTCATCTCGTTAGGTGGAGCAAATTAATTCCGTTTTGTAGTTGTTAAGTAAATTTGTTCTAATATTACAATTTCTGGATTATAGTATTAGGGTCAAGGTCAGGGTCGGTACTATGGGATTAGACAAATAATATTTCTTCCTCATTTATTTTTTTTCCCCATTACTAGCGCTTGTAAATGAATGCTGGGTATATGTGGAGAGTGGGGTTTGGTTTTGGCAGGAAAAATCTTGAAGAAAAATGGGTAACTGTAAGAACAGAAACTTTTGATAAATCAGGTGGGGAAAATATGATGTGTTTCACCTTCTGAGCAGGAAGACAGGGTTCTGGTATGTTCTTGAATGAATCATAGTGGCTGATCTGGCAGAGCCTTCGGCAGGGCAGGCTGCTGGTTAGACCTGGCTGGGTTTTTCTTTGGAGTCAGGATCCCGAGCCACGTCTCGGACGTGAGTTACAAACTTCCTTTAGAAACACTGACTTGATCTTGAGACTTGCTGTCAGCTCCGTTCCCCTAAAAAAAAATTGCCTTCTGAGGAATCCTGACGTTGCTTAGAGAAAAGTCACGTTCCGAGAGCGTGCGTTTCCCTTCTGGTTTATTTCTGCAGGAGAGGTGAGCAGTTTCTTGGGTGGGAGAGGAAGCCCTGGGTTTTGTTGGAGCGATGGCTCTCCCTGAGCTGGTTCTTCTCCTTGCTCTGAGAGGGACACAGCGAGTTCCGGGTGTTGTTGGTGCACGTAGGGACCAAGATCTTATTTATATGGCAGTGCCTCAACCCAGACCATGATTATTTTGGAGGAAATCACAGTGAACTAGAAAAATAACAATTTGTAAAGCTGGCTCTTTTTTTTTTGCCGTTTCAGACAGTAGTTGTCACAGTAAAGAAAGCCCAGGCAGTGGAGAGAAGGTGGGTGAGTTGCCCTCAAGCCCCTCTGAGCTGAGAGAAAGCGAAAGAGAAAAGAACTGCAGAAAAAGCCAGCTCACGAGCAGGAGAGTGCTGGGCTGGGTGGCACATCTGGAGCCTCCTGTACATTTTTTTCCTGGATTTCACTTCAAACCTGGACGCTAATACAGAACAATTCAGATAATTCAGAGGGTAACGCAGGAGGGAAGCCCATGAGAGGGAGCTCACATGAAACCTTGGTGAGATACGCAGGCAGCTCGGGGCTGGAGCAACCAGGAGAGAACAGCACCTTTGATAAAAGAGCTGAGATTTTCAGCCTTTGTGTTTTGAATTTTCATGAAACAGCATCTCTGCTGAGGCACAGTCAAAGCCTTTGCTGTTCAGCACAACTAGAAATTACTTCTTTTTCCCCAAAGTTAATAAAAACGTGGTTTTGCACACTGCAATTAAGTAAGTCTGCTTGATCAGGTGGACTTAGGCAGTCAGGCAGCAGATAGGTCAAGAGATTAATCGGTGTGACCCGACAGCAGATACCTAGAGAACCCATTGTTTTGGCAAAAAATTACAAAGTTGGGGTTATTTTTGACTGTGTACATTTATCTTACAAAACAGGTAGATATTCATATGTCTTCCTAATTTAAAGACCGATACCAGTGTAGGAAATGGAATATATTTGAATAGTCTTATTATTAAATCTTGAAGTATAAATTTATATTACTAGTACGTGTCATCTTAAAGAGGGTAATCTTAAAAATAAATGTAATTTGGATTGTTTGGGAGATGTTGGCACAGGCTCTGTCGCCCCTGGTTACCCCTCACGGGTGTCGGGTAAGGCAGAAATGAGAGCAGAGGCTGAGAATTGGCTTCAAAACTGAGCTTTCTGCCCCCAGCAGCTGGGTGGGTGGGATGCTCTGGGCAGCTCTGGCTGGGTCAGGGTTCTATGTGAACATCCGAGGGCAGAAATTTCAGTGAATTTCAGTGAAATTCAGTGAATTTCACCTGCTGATTCCGAGGAACCAGCTCCCTCCTCCCCATTTGTGGTCGTTTGGGGCAGAAGCCGTCCCTGGTATCGTAGTCAAAAGGGCTCAAGGTGCAGCTCCCGAGGGGATGCTCAGAGCTGGTATCACAGAGGGAGTATTTGCCTTTCAATAAGTTGAAGCTGGAAGTAAATTAAAATTATGCATGTATGCTTATTGATGGTTATATTTGTAATAGCTTTTAGTAAATACTGTGTTTATTATGACCTAGGGAGCAAACAACCAAAGCAGACCTGTATACCTGCACTGTACTTTGGGGGAATTTAGTCCTGCAAGGAAAAAAAGTTGAACTTGTAGGTACAACTTCTTTCATTTCACATAATAAATATTCTATTTGCTTTATTTAGAATGTGATTATTTAGTAAAAGCCAAAGGACTGAGAAATGTCATTTCCTCGGTGATCTTCCTGCTGCCCTTTTACAGATGGAGTATAATCAGGTGTGTAAGAAGAGGGAAAAAAAAAAAAGCAAAACCAAGAAAAAAAACCCCAAAAGTAGTTGAGCTGACATGAAAGGTATTTCAGATTTATGTTTTGCAGATGATATTGGTATGATTAATGTATTCATTGCTTTTTTTTATTGCCTCTCGCAGATAATGTTCATGATGCATGGAAAATTCTGTGTCTTTAAAATCTATGCCAGGTTTACAGAGTCTGTGTATGTCAACAGATGTTAAGAATATAAACACAACTTTTATTATAAAGTCGTGCAAATGTGTAGACATGAGCTTGGTTTATGTATATTATTTTCAGCATGAGAATGAAATGAAACTTCTGTGAAACAAGAGTTATTTAGATTCCTGCAGCTTTCAGGCTGAGATTAGCCTGGTTGAAAGCGCTCAGGAAGGGGCTGCCTTTGGGAGGCTGACAAGCTAATGACACTTCGGGCTTAGGGAATTAGTTTCTAACCCAGAACTTGAAAGCGCTGGTGCCGTTTGTTAGGCTGAAGATACATTTTCATGAAAATGGCCTTTGGTGGTACAGTTTTCTGAAACAAGCTGGAAATCAGCCTGGGCTCCCGGCTGAAAGCCCTTTGTTACGTTGCTGTGGGTGCCCACCACGCACCAGTCCTGCTCTACTGGGCTGGGTGGTGGGTGCTGCTCCGTGTTCTTCTTGTCTCTAGCACCAGACAGGCTCCTGGAGGGTGGGTGTTCTGAATCTTGTAGAAAATATGAACTACACCAATGATGGGGGGAAAAAATGCAAACGCAACTCAACCGTAGAGCAGAGCACCTCGTCTGGAAGAGCTCTGCTGATTGCACCAAGGTGTCCATTCCTCCTTTGGCCTTGCAATGTTATTGCCACTGTTGAGTAGCAAGTGGGCAGTGATGAGTTAAAATCAGAGGCTTTTACCTGCAGGACCCACGCTGTGGTGCAAGTCTCTTTCCCCAGGGAGCGTGCATTTGGTGGAAACCTCTGGCCATGACCAAGGTCTTGGAGAGTGGGTGGGGTTGGGCCACTCCATGGCAAGTCTTGAGCCCTGCCGTGCATCTCGGTGCTGGTGACCTTCCATAAACCTCACAGCCACGTCAGGGAGCTTATTCAGAGCCTCTTTCCCTGGCTGCAGGGAGGAGACAAGCAGCTGACGAGGCTTTCAGGCCACTGTGTGGCATCAAGAAGGCATGTTCTTGTCCGTTTGTGTCTGAAAGAGAAGGTTTCTCTTCCAGCTGTGGAACAAGCCCTCTGCTTCCAGTCTGCCCAAGCAAAATTCAGAATCAGGATAGAAGGTTAAACACCTCCAGACCACGCTGGTAACTTCTCCCAATTATTGTTCTGTGAACCCAGGAAAGAAACTGCAGAAACTTCGGGACTAACGTCAAAAGTTGGTCATCGAGGGAGGGGGGGGAAGGGTTGCTGAGGACCTTGATGTCCTGCCCTGTGTCTCAGGAAGTTCCCAGGATTTTCTCAGCGTTTCAGGTCGGCACAGCTCGGGAGGGGTGATCCTGTGAAGGGGACAGACCTGGCTTAAAAACCTGAATTTCCCCCAGGTTCGTCCGGAGCCTGGTCCTGTCTGGGTGAGGCTCCGAGTGCTCGGTTTGGGTCCCTTCTCCAGCTGCTCATTTTCACCAAATCTGCAGGAACATCTTAACTCCGAGACTTCCATGTCTCTTGTCAAAGTTGGTTGGATTTGACCAGAGGGTTTAAGGGGCAACTGCCTGTGTGATTGCATTTCCTTCGGTAATCACGCCCAGGCAGAAAATGCAGTTAGGAAATTACAAAGGTGGGCATGTTTGCTGATGGTCAGGTTCAGCATTTACAGCTGCTTTCTTTTATAGGGTAAGTTTTTAATTAAGGTTGGGTTTTTTTTAAAAAAAAAAAATCATGTAGGAAGTCTCCATAAGAGCTCTAACGTCATTTTATAAAATGACAGGAAATCAAATGCTCTAAGAGTTTGAAAAGCTGTTTTAAATACGTTTTGTGTTCTGAGCTGCAGGACACGAGCAAAAGATGAGCCTGGGCAGAGGGGACAGTGAGGAAGGGCTTTGGAGGACGGTGTCCTGTGAGAGTGGGAGCACGTCTGTTTCGTTGCAGTTGTGGACTCTGGGTTTTTGGGAACTTCTTTAAAGATGTGCAAAAAATCTAGAAGGGTACAATAAATTATTATTCTCACTTTACATTTCCTTTCCAAATTTTCTAGCTCTCTTGCTTGAAATCCAGGAGAAAAAAAAATCAGGGCGTGTGATTGTAAATGCCTTTTTGTTTGGTTTTGTTGGGTTTTTTTAATCCCCCCTCATTGAAAAGCCAATTATTTTCCTTTAGCTGTAGGGAGACGTGCTCAGATTTGCCCCTTTAAATTGATCATCCTTGTTTTATTATCGCAATTCACATCTGAATTAATTTGGTAGGATGAGATGAATGCTCTTTCTTGGTTTTGATGCTGGTACTTGGTGCCAGTCCCTGTAATGTAAC